AAACAACCTTACAATTTTACCTAAGTTCAATTGCCTAGCATTAGAATCCCTGTTGTTTTTATGAACTACTTTATTTAGTAAAAAAAAACAAAAACATAATTGTCACTAGGAATATGTTAGCTTGATAAATGACTAAGGGAATAGAATAGAACCAAGAAAGGAAAGATTTTTTCCCCATAAAGATATAGTAGCTATAACATTTCTCCCATAATCTTTATTAAGCCCTATGTCTATAACTGCCATTCATGTTCCGTTGTGGTAAGTGGTAATAGGTAGGAGATTGTTACTGAATCACCTGATAATCATTCAGTTGAGGCCAGGATAAACAGATTTCAGAGTATTTTAAGCTCTAAGGCTAGGTCTCCCCTTAACTATAGACATTCCCTATGTTTTCTTGCATAAGGTGCTAAAATCCATCTACTGAGCCCATTTATGTGCGTATTGGCCTGATGCATAGTCAGTACAGACACACAAGGCTGTCTTCTGCCACTGTTCCATCCTCATGTCTGAGTTTCTCTTCATTCAAGTCCCTCCTATATACTGGTTGGTCCTTGTCTCCAAAGGTCCCTTGTCAGAAAGCACATACAATTAATTGAAATAAAGAATAAATTCAAGTTCTAGCAACCTCTAACATCATTGGGTTTTAATATATTAGCTTGTTCTTATAGGCAAGTGATCAGGAACTAGGAAAGATTTAGAAAGATGGGACCAAATGTAATTCTAGAGTTGGGAACCCTAAATACTCAAGACAGTATACGGTAAAGAAAAAAAAACAAACTTGCCCTATTACAAAGACAGCCAAAGTCTTGATAAGTCAAAAATAAGTTATTATGTAATAAATGGAGGCTTCTTAAATGTAAAGCTGGGATTGGTTTGAATGAAGAAGCTCTTCTCAAATTTAATGAGCACACAGAGTCACTTGATGATCTTGTTAAAATGCCTATTATGATTCGAACGGTCCAGAGTGGGATTAGGATTCAGCATTTCTAAATAGTAGATTTTAGGTGATGCTGACACTCCTAGTCCCAGGACCACATTTGAATAGTAAGGGACTATAGAATATTTAATTTAATGTTCATTTTAGACAAGTATTTCCATCATAATGAAGGGAGAATTCCAACAAAGGCTTGTTATTCTTTTTCTCTTTATTGTTGAAAGTATTACAGATGTCCACTTAGTTTTTTTTTTCCCATTGATCCACCCCCCACCTGCCCCTCCCAGGCCTTCGCCACTCTATTGTCTGTGTCCATATATGCATATAAGTTCCCTGGTTAATCACTCCCAACCCATCCCCTACCCGCACCTTCCCTCTGAAATCCATCAGTCTGTTCAATGCTTCTATATCTCTGGATCTATATTTGTTCATCAGTTTATGCTGTTCATCATATTCTACAAATGAGTAAGATCATGTGATACTTATCTTTCTCCAACTGGTTGATTTCACTTCCCATCACTGGTGTAAATGTACCATAGCCTTTTATCCACTTATGTGCTGATGGGCACTTGGGCTGCTTCCAAATATTAGCTATTGTAAATTGTGCTCCTATGAAATTGGGGTGCATATATTCTTTCTGATTGATGTTTCTGATTTCTTAGGATATATTCCTAGAAGTGAGATCACTCAGTCAAATGGGAGTTCCTTTTGAGGAAACTCCATACTGATTTGAACAGTGGCTGCACCAGTCTGCCTTCCCACCAGCAATGTACCATGGCTCTCTTTTCTCCATATCTTTGCCAGCACTTGTCATTTGTTGATTTATTGATGGTAGCCATTCTGACAGGTGTGAGGTAATACCTCATTTTCATTTTAATTTCCATCTCTTAGATGATTAGGGACTTTGAGCATTTTCTCATATGTCTCTTGGAAAAGCCTGTTATAATTGACTAGAAGCCCAGTGCATGAAATTTGTGCAGGGGGGGTGGGGTTGTCCCTCAACCCAGCCTACACCCTATCCAATCTGAGACCCTTGGGGTTGTTGGACATCCCTCTCACAATCTGGGGCTTCTGGCTCCTAACCGCTCACCTGCCTGCCTGCCTGATTGCCCTTAGCCGCTTCTGCCTGCCAGCCTGATCGCCCCCTAACCGCTCCCCTGCTGGCCTGATTGACACCTAAATGCTCCCCTGCTGGCCCGATAGCCCCCTACTGCCCTCCCCTGGTAGCCTGATCACCTCCAACTGCCCTCCTCTGCTGGCCCAATCACCCCCAACTGCCCTCCCCTGGCAGCCCGATCGCCTTCAACTGCCCTCCTCTGCTAGCCTGTTTGTCCCCAACTGCCCTCTCCTGCCACCCTGATCACCCACAACTGCCCTCCCCTGCCAGCCATCTTGTGGTGGCCATCTTGTGATGATGTCACGCAAGAGCATCACGCAAGGGTGTGATACCACCTAGGCTTTTATTATATAGGATAACTAGGATATCCTGGTCATTCGGAATGCTTTTTTTTTTTAAATCCCCACCTGAGGATATTTTTTCCATTGATTTTTAGAGAATGGAAGGGAGAGGGAGAGACAGAGACAGAGAGAAACACTGATATAAGAGAGACACATCAGTTGGTTGCCTTGCGTATGCCCCCAACAAAGGCCAGAAGCCTGCAACCGAGATACGTGCCCTCAACCAGAATTGAATCGAGGACCCTTCAGTCTACAGGCCAACACTCTATCCACTGAGCAAAACTGGCTAGGGCCTGGGAATGCTTTTAGATTGATGGATCACATCAATGAAGTGCTGTAGCACATGACCTTGGAGCAAAGACCATGCACATTTTAGCTTACTCACTTGTTGTTTAATGCAGCGACAGCAACTGAGCTTCTAGGAATTGACATACTAGCCACGTAATTCCACTGACGTCCCTCAGGGTCCCATCTTTCTACAGTATTTAGATAACTCCATCCATCATGACCACCAACAGCATACATTGGTCCTTCAAGTGTGGCTACACCTAAAGAATAAAAACAGCATGAGGGCTCACCTAGGTATAATACATATAATGGCTATTATATGCAAGCAACAAACTGATTAAAAATTTGTTTCAGTTTCTTAAATGATTTTGTGTACACATGAATAATTTACTGATCTTGATATGAAACTAAATATGGTATTTTAATCCAAGAAAATTTTCAGGCATAATTACCATTTTCATGGAAATATATCATTGTTGTCATACTGAAGCCAAAGGAGGTAGTGGAACACATCATTTCTGAGGATGTGGTAGATAAGGGAAATTGATTTTTCTGGCATAATTTCAATGCCATTTTTAAAGTAAGAAGTAGATGAGATATGACACTGAATCTTAGATAAATCTTAGAAATGTAGGCTAACTGTTGTCCTTCTAATGCCTGTTAAGATTATAGGGATAAAAAAAGGTTCTCATCAGATAACTAAATAGATAGGGTTTTTGAGGAGTATTTAGAAATGTGTTATATTAGATACTATAAATACCCCCTTTCTAACTGCTTCTCAACTGCTCTGGGAATACATGAGTCCCCCCTGCCCTGACCTTCTTTACTATCTCAATACCTTATATTTTTTCAAAAGACTATCTCAATGAGCTCTCAGATATATCCTCATCACCTATCCTATCTCTTTAGTAACATCAATATATTTTAAAACTTGCTCTGATTTCTCTAAGATATTTTCTAAGCTATGTTTTTGAGTCACTGACACAACTGAGCTGAATATAATTAACATAATCATACATTTGGAATAGACTATTTATCAGATAATTTTGGGGCAAATGACACCAGACCTGGGTCTGCCACTTTTTAGCTGTGTAAATCTAGTTCTGGAAGGTAGGGGAGGGTGGGGATAAGGGGGAGAGATCAACCGAAGGACTTGTATGCATGCATATAAGCATAACCAATGGACATAGACACCAGAGGGTGAGAGCATGAGGTGAGGGCACTGGGGGAATAGAAACACATATGTAATACCTTAATCAATAAAAAAAAGTAACAAGGAAATTATTTTTTTCTCAAAAGACTATGATATTGAAAATGTATGGAGACTAGTAAGAACAAAGATGTACCCTAACAGATATTTAGGAGAATCAAAGTTCTCCACTGTTCTAGATGTCTCCACTGCATCTTTCTTAAACTTTTTTTTTATAAACTCTGGGTTACATATAACTTAGAGCTGCTCTCAACTGAAGTGGTTTTTCCCTGACTTGGATCTGCATCATAGGCTTTTTGCTTAAATATAGAGTTGCCTATTATAGAAAGGAACATGATTCATCTAACTAGAAACACGTCTCTCCATTATCAAGTGCTCTTTCCTCTAAATTGAGTTTGGAACAAAACTATTGTAGTTTTGTGTTCCTCAATAATGTAATCCTTCTCAAAGTTTTTATCCATTGTAACAAGTATGACATCTGAAACAAGAAAAAAAGTTTCAAAGGTTTTGACCATTTGCTTAAGCTTTTCAACATTTTGGAGACATTTTGACTACAGGATTTGCTACATCCCAATAATGTGCAGGTGAATTTAATTTTTAAATATTTCTGTGAACTATACATTCTTTATAAGCCATATAACATTAAATTCTTACCTAAGCCGTGCCTATGTGTTGACATGGGAGGCATCACACTCCAGATTTTGCCAACTGGATTAAAACATTCCACAGTATTCAAAGTCTTTAAACCATCTCTTCCTCCCACAATATAGAGCTTATTATCAATAACTGAAACTCCAAACTGAAGCCTACGGCCATTCATGGTGCCAATATGTAACCAGGTATTGGTCCTGAGGTCATATTTTTCTATTGTAGTGGTACCTGTTGGAGGGATATTGAACAATGGTAAAAACCACTTTTATAAACACATATCCTTTTCAAATTACTCCAAAAAATTCAAGAAGAGGGAAGCCTTCCAAGCTCTTTTACAAGGCCAAAAGTATCCTAATACCAAAACAAGATAAAGACACTACAAAGAAAGAGAATTATACTATAATATCCCCGCTGGACATAGATGCTAAAACCCTCAACAAAATATTAGCAAATCAAATCCAGCAATAAATTAAAAAGAATGAAATACCATGGTCAAGTAGAATTTATTCTGGGGATCAAGTTTGGTACAATATTTGCAAATCAATAAGTATGATATAGCACATGAACAAAATGAAGGATACAAATTACATGATTATATCAATACATGCAGAAAAATCATTTACTAAAAGCCAGCACACAGTTTATGATGAAA